AAATTTTGGATAGGATTGGGATATCTACCTACAGACTAGCACTGCCTCCAGAATTATCCAGATTCTATAACGTCTTCCATGTGTTGATGCTGAGTAAGTATAACCTTGAATCCTCACATGCTTTGTCTTACAAGTCACTTCCATTTTAGGAGGATTTATCTTATGAGTAGGTATCAGTTGACATTTTGGACCGAAAGAACAGAGTGCTTTGCAAAAAAAAAAAATTTCATTTATCAAAGTTTTATGGCAAAATCACTCGCAGGATGAGACCACTTAGGAGTTGGAATCAGACTTCAGGGCTAGATACCTTCAATTGTTTGACTAGGGAGCAACAATTTAAGAGACAAAATTTTCTTAAAAGGGGGAGAGTTGTAATATTTCGAGTCTAAACTTTAGGCTCGAGATGACATAATTTAATTTTTTAATAAGAATAATAAGAGTTAATTAAAAAAATTTTTGATTTTTTTTAGGAATATGAATTCTTGATGAATTTGAAAATAATTTTAGAAAATAGGGTGAAACTGTAAATAAAAAGAGGGTGTATTTAAAAAAAAAGTTTGAAAACATGAGCCAAATAGCTAAAAAAGAAAAAGCAGCCACGTGGGATTGCTATGTCAGTAGCATAACGAGTTAAAATGCGCTGCGTGGCGAACACGCTGGCACGAGCTCCACGCATGAGCCACACAGACGATCTGCATGCCTAGGTGATCCAATGGTCCGTGCTCACTCCCGCGTGCATGAACGATGTGGATTGACTTCCCGAATAAGCGTGATCGGATGGTCCATATGTTTTTGATTGAATGGCCTAGATTTATTCCCCTATTAGGCGCGATTAGACGACTGAGGAGGCACCATGTAGACCTAAATGGATGGCCCAGATCGAGAGAAATGGAGTATTTAAGTGCCTCTTCCACCAAACCCTAACCCTAGCTGTACACTCGCTCGCTGGAGAAGAAGAAGAAGGGCGGCTGGAGGAGAAGCCCAGCCACCAGTGTCGCCGTACCAGAAACCAAAATCGTGCCGGTGAGTGCGATTTTTTCCCATTCTTCTCATTTCTCTACCCTTTAACCCGCTAATATATTGTTTTATGTAAATTAGCTGAAAACAACTACGACCCGTGAGGAAAGAACGATCGAGCTCAGCTGAGCCGGCACACCAGAGACCGAAAAATGCTCCAGTAAGCCATATCCTCTTTCCATCCACTCTGTTTTCCCCGCCCTTCAGCCATGTAACTCCTTTCTGATGCAGGGTGACTGAAAAAGCCATGAATCGTGAGGAACGAACAATGGAGCTTGGCTGAGCTACCGCACTGAGATAAAAAAAATGTCAATAGCCTTAATTTTTTCCCCTTTTTCTACCGATAAAACCTCCTAA